TTATTATATTAATAAGCAGAAAACAATTAAAATATAAAGATAAAGGTAAAATAGACAAAACATTCATAAAATGACAAAAAAAAGTAAACTAAAGGGTAAGGGAAAATGTACAAATAGCATTTTCCTTTTCAAATTTCTTTTGCAGAGACACAGTCGGTTCTAATGGTGGTAGCTTCGTCTACCTGACACGTCACCTGCTTTCACATGTGAACTCGAAATTCTTCAAATTTACGGGTTTACCATCCCACGTCACACGCCTCTCCCAAAACCCTAAATTCCGGACCCAAAATTGCACTTCCAAGAAGAGCCTCACAATCCACGCTGCACATATCGCCACGTACACAACATGTCTCATCCTCAGCGTCCATGCCAGATGTTACGGTCAACCCCTCAAGCCAGCAAACAGATTTATCACAACCCTTCGATCAACAAAACAAATTTATCGACGGTCCTAATTCTGCCCGTATTTTTCACGGGCAGATCTCATCGCCTTTAAGAAGCCTATCCCTCGTCCTCTAATCTTCGCTCAATTCCTTCAAACACTTGCCCAATCATAAATACTGCCCCTTTCTAATTTTTCTACAAAATAATAGCCGGCGGCGATAGGAATATTTTTGGGGAAGATTTTGGCGGGCGTGTTGCCGTAAGTGGAAAATCAATCGAATAAAATTATACATGTTTTTGGATCGGAGATCCGACGGAGCTGAGGTGAGCGCCGGCTGTGCTATTCATGGCATACGCTGTCTTGGCTAGCCAGAATGAATCGAGCTGGGCACATATGGGGAAGATTCCATACTCAAATCCTCACTTAAATACAAACCCTAACCCTAACCCAAAGAAAAAGCAAAAGCAATTCCACAATTCAAGCAGTAATGGAAGCGGCCGGTTCAACGATGATTTTCCGGCTGCAACACAGGCCGACGATGCCTATTCATTCAATCAGACTACTACGGCGGCGCGTAGTGGATTCAACCATGGCGGATATCTTACCTACAACGTTGATTCGTACACAAAATCCGAACTTTTAGAGTTCCGTAAACGCTTGGCTGCCGAGCTTGAACAGATCCAGACGCTGAGGGATCAAATCGACTCCGGTCGATTTAACTTCAACAGTAGCAGTAACAATCCTAGGTCTCAAGGGAAACCAAAGAAATTATCTGGTAACAAACGGCCTAGAGCCCCAGTTGGATCCCATAAGGATCCAAAGAAACTATGCAATGGATTTCTTGATAATGGAAATTTAGGGATGAAAAACGCAATTGATTGTGGGGCTATGTTGAAGGAATGCAGGCTGATTTTGACGAAATTGATGAAGCACAAGAAAGGGTGGATATTCAATAAACCTGTTGATGCGGCTGCTCTGGGGCTTCACGATTATCATCAAATTGTGAAGCGGCCGATGGATCTGGGGACAATAAAGTCGAATCTAACCAAGGATCTGTATTCGCATCCTACTGAATTTGCTGCTGATGTAAGGCTGACTTTTAATAATGCCTTACTGTACAATCCGAAAACTGACCAGGTTCACGGCATGGCAGAGCAGCTATTAACGATGTTCGAGGAATTGTTTAGTCCAATTCAGGAGAAGATTGGTAGTTGTAATACTCAACGAAGAGAAAGGGAGCTTCGAGAATTTTGGGATAATGATGAATTGCAAGGGAGTCAGTGGAATAATCCTAGGCAGATTATGGCATCATCCCCTGGAAGGGGAGGAAAGAAAAGTAAACCAAAATTGAGCCCGATTCCAGTTCCTCAGGCTTCAAAGAAGCCGGAGAAAATGCAAATGCAAAATCATTCTAGCATCGAAATGCCTCCCGCCCCTCCGCTGCCACCATTGACCCATCCAGTACATGCACAAACTCCATCTCCTGTCAGTGCTCCATTGCCTGCAAAGGAACAGAAAGTTGGAAGAGTAGGGATGGTGAAGCAGCCAAAACCAAGGGCAAAGGATCCGAATAAGAGGGAAATGAGTATTGAGGAGAAGCATAAACTTGGTAGTGGGTTACAGAGTTTGCCTCAGGAGAAGATGCCACAATTGGTTCAGATTATAAGGAAGAGGAATGAGCATTTGGGGCAAGATGGTGATGAAATTGAGCTTGACATAGAGGCCCTTGATACCGAGACTCTTTGGGAATTGGATCGGTTTGTGACCAATTGGAAGAAGATGGTAAGTAAGACTAAACGACAAGCATTGATGATGAACAACAATCATGCTGCTGAAGCTACTGCTCCAACCACACACAATGTGGAGGACGACATGGTAATGCTTAATTCAATAATGTCAATATAGTTAGTTACCTACTGAATTTTATGATTGGGACTGGGACTATGATTATTATCTAATGATGTTATGTGGTTGATTTTTGTAGGATGCAATGAGTGAGGAAAATGACATGGGAAAGAAGCCAAAAAAGAATGAGGACGAGGATGTGGATATCGATGACGATATGCCTGCGACAAGCTTTCCTCCCATTGAGATCGAAAAGGATGAAGAAGGTGGTGGAGGTCATGATCAAGGCAATGCCAGTAGCAGCTCAAGTAGTTCTAGTAGTTCCAGTAGTGAATCGTCTTCCAGTGGTATTAATTCTTGCATTTCTGAATTGTATTGAGGAATTTGTTGCTCAGAATTGAGGTATTGGAAGGTATTTGTTAATACAATGCTCATTACTACGAGCTCCTTCTCTTAACAGGTTCTGATTCAGGGAGTTCCTCCAGTAGTGAATCCGATGCAGATGATGCGCAGTCCTGACATCTCGGTTTAAGTCATTTTGCAAATATTGAGTATGAACTTATCAAAATTGGCTCTTTGCCTCAGAATGCGTTGATCATTAGGATATTTGATGATTTGAGGTAAGCAGATGTTAAACTAGTTTTCACTTTCAATCTTTATGTGCATTTTACGTATAGAGAAGGCCTGAAATTTTCGACCCACCTTTTGCAGAGTATTGCAAAGATACGCCAAGATGGGAAAGCTTAAAAGAGAAGTTTGTGGGTATCTGGTTGAGTATTGAAGTTGTAAATTAGAAGTAAAAGGAGTTTCTTGGTTGTCTGCTCTAAGAAGTTTTCCCAATTTGAGTTTCGGGAATAGAGGGGAGATTACAGTGTAGAGATACATTTGTACAGTTTGATTTAACATACGATTATGTTGGTATTTGTTCCCAGTGTTTTTATGCAATGGAAAGAAAATAAGTTAAAATCTCGACCTGTTTTAATTCGATTTGAAGTTGGGTTCTAGTTGGAATTTTGTGGGTCTCTGGGTTTTACAGTTATGGCAGGCAGGCATGTGATGCCACAAGAAAGCTAAAGTTGAGGTTTTTTTCTCATTCTCCCATGTGATTTTCTCATTGTATCACATACTCTACAAGAATGAACGTGGAACAATAAACATTTCCAGCAAGTTGGCAAATAATCTACTATCCATTCATCTGTTGTTTGGAGGAATTCAGATCCCATTTTAAAAGTTTACGTTTTCCTGATTCTTTTTAGTTTTTGTTGTGTAAAATCAAGTAATCA